CAAAAATAAACTATTAATAGCACCACATTATTGACTAGATATCTAGTTCCAAAATAAGAAGCTTATGCGTCGTGGATCTTTTAAATCGTACAATCCTACAAATAGTTTTTCGGCTAAATGTGAAGAAAGTGCAACAGGTTTGTAATTGGACATATTGAGGTATATGATATTTGATATATTGCATCGACATCCTCTTCCCCTCCACAATAATCCCATGCGTTGCCCCAGGACTCAGAACCTGACACTTTTTCTTTTTTAACTAAAGGCTTGATGAACTCATTTCTCCTGTGACAGGGGATCTGGGGGTTGTACACTTTTGTTTCTCTATGTACAAACATCTTACGTCAATTGATTCATTTGTAGTTACACCTCGCGAAAATGGAAACTCCACCCAGGTTATTTTCTGCCGTGTAGTGCTGCTCGTCAGTGTTCAGTTACTGTCAGCAAATGATTGTCTTTTCCGAATGAGTTTTCATTTACAGTTTGGCACATTCCTCCCAGTGTTTCAGGTACTCTGCAGTGTCTGTGTCACTGAACTTGGCCTGGCAACGCGGACACTGCAGCTCGGACAGGTCCTGGAACTCGCTCCAGACGGGGTTCGATGTTACTGCAGCAGCTGCGGGCTGTTGCTGTGTCTCGGCGGTGGTCCTCAGTAGATGCTCTGTATTGTCCTTGTGTCTCCGTATGGAGATCCTGTGTCCTATGTGCACACGACTGCTCTCTCTGGTGGCTCCCTGCTGAAAACCATGCGACACATACACAGTTAGGATTGTACAAGCCACACGCACGGGAAGAGGCTAAGAGAAGGGATCGTTGTCTCACCTGTTTGTGTAGCTGCTGTTTTAACTGGTAAACCTGCTCCTTCAGGTCTTGGATCTGGCCTTGTGCTCGCTCTCTGTCTCTACGCTCCGACTTAAAGTCCTCTGTGTAGATTAGAACCTTGAGGAACGAAAAAGAAAAATACATTACACATGTGCTGAATCAGATATAATTTAGCAGGAGAAACACACAGATGAAGAAATAGAACCAACCTGTTGCTCCAATGTCTGGATGCACTCTTGGTCCTTCCTCCTTGTATCATCGACGTCTCTTCCCAGCCGTGCGCACTCACTCATCTTCTCTTCCAGTAAGCCGTTGAGCCTGGAAATCTCGTGATGAAGCAACCCAGTGCTGAGAGAACCCAGCCCAGGCACCAAGCCCTGTCCAGTGCTCTCCTTCAGCCTCTGACATAATCCTCGGATATAGTCCTCCCTGCTGGAGTCGTACTTCTGCCACTGGGAATTCAAACCTTGTACCTACAACAGAATCAGTTACAAAGTTAAGACCGTTTGATAATGTGCTGTGTCCATACTACTTTCCGATATTGAAAATAACATTCAACTGATGATGTATTTAAGCCCATAAGTATTGATGAAGACTTACATATGCCACTCGCTGCTTTAGCTGTTTATTCTCCTCCTGAAGTTGAACGATTTGAGCGTTGGCAACAGTCATGTCCGGGGACTCTGCCATCTGTGGAAAACGGGAAAAAAGACGTTACAGCATGGCCCCTGATATCTCTGAGTGCTTTGAGGAGAGACACCAGTCAGCCCATACAGCCCACACAGCCCAAAGCCTTCCACACACCTCCTTAGCCCTCTGCTGGTGGGCCACCTCCTCCACCTCTCCTTCGCCCTTCTTCTCCAGCCTCGCCAGGAGCTCCTGGCACACCTTCACGGTGGTGCCGAGCTGCCCACGCAGCTGGTCGGCCTCCTCCACTAGGGAGTTGCAGAGGACAGCTCTGGTGGCCTCGGACCGCTCCCTCTCCTCCAAGGCCGACCGCAGCTTCTGGATGTTGCGGTCCTTCTCGTGGTCGGGCTGACACCTGATGCTCTCCAGCTCCAGCTCCTTGTCTCTGAGCTGCAAGGTCAGCCTCTGGATCTCCTGGAGCGGGGGAACAGGGAAGATGGAGCACATGAGCATGGCAGCATCTAAAGTGTTAGCTTGTTATTTTATTAACTAAATACGCTGTCTGGTTATATTATTGCCACTAATCTTGCTCTGTTTGATGTTTTCCTTCAAACCGTAGATTGTTTCACTGAAAACTTTTTTTTTTTTTT